GAAATTGAGGGAGTAATCAATATTAACTGGTTGTAGTCTAAACCCTTTTTCCTTTTAAAGGTGATGTTGTTTTCTGTTTTTTTGTTCGAAACATGTCATTTCATGATGGAAAATACATAGAGCAACTTTTATAATCTGTCTTGCGTAGATTAGTTTAATCTGGCATAATAAAACTATACTTGTATATACCCAAGGTGAAATGGGGCCACCCTAGCCCGTTGAGTGTGACTTATATAAAAGAGAAACGGTGGTGGATACCGAGAATCCATCAATCTTAATATATGCCACCTTTTCTGATGGCATCTCCATTTATGATTTTCCACCAATTCTGTCCATTAAAGTTACGAATATATAGTATTTAGCTTTTCCTTATACTTTTTTAAAACACCTCCTTATAATATACCAGTATACACATTATTAGGTTTATATATACATACATGTGTGGGACAGTGGGAGGATCTTTCTGTACCTTTATTTTGCCAGTGCTTTAGGGAATTTAAGACATTGCTAGCAAGTCTCAGACACATTATGTTAGTGGGGATCACTGTTCCCATAACTTCTCTTTTCTTGAATTTCTTTAATCATTTTTAATTCTTTATTATTTCCTTTTACTGTGCTTTAGGATCAATGACCTAACAAGGAGTGGATGGCGACGGGGACCAATTTGATTATTTCAACAATTTCAGATTTGGTTCCATCAGTCTCTGTCTTATCTCTATACATAACATACATACATACATACACATATCACATAGGAAATATATGAAAAAGCTGTAAAATCCAAAAACATTTAAAAGTGAAAAGGACAGGAAAATGGTACCTAAACATATACATGTGTTTAAGCCTTTAAGGGCGTGAAAGTGTCCCGTGAATAATTTTTGCAATACTTTTGATGAAAAACTTTGTTATGCATATACTTTTGTTATGTGTATGAATTCACGATTATACATTTGATTTGGTGTAAGACTATGTCTGATAGATAGCATGAATAACGAGTTTGGTTTTGATTTTTACTGATCAGTATAATTAATGGATCATGCATAGTGTATGGCACTCCTAACCACTCCCTTTTGTCACAATCTCCCACAACTTCATCTCAATGCTTCAACCTCCACTCTTCAACTTCTCTTCTCCCCATCACATTTATTCAGAATGGAGTTAGTTAGGTGTGGTTGCACTCATGATTTTGACTTTTGTAAATCTGAAATCGAACATGAACCAAAATTCGGAGATGTATTCTGTAGAAACATTGACTGTGTCATTACATTGACCTCATATGTAGAACAACTAAGCGTTAGGGTTTGAGATCTTAAGCTAAAATTCGTTTTTGGTCATCCGCCAGAAATACTATTTTCCAATGTTTTCATGTCTTATGATTTTGAAGTTTAAGCGTAGTTTCTAATTTTCAGATATGCTTATTATTATTACATAGAATAGAAGAAATATGAAAATAGCACTAATCTTCTTGTATCAAAATTAAATAGTAGTTCATATTCATATATAAAGAGGAAAGCTTGTAAGTAAACTCCCACACCGACGGGTCCAAGTTTAAAAAGTTTTATAATTTTGTGTTTTTGGTGATATGTATGTTTACACGTATTCGTCTATATGATACATGTAGAGAAATAGCCTTTGATACATAGGTGCACAAACAACAAAAAAACGTTGTTATATATATATATATATATATATATATATATTGGGTTTGACATTTTCATTAAATTTGATTAAATTTGTTATTTCGATTCAATTCAAAAAAATTAGATATCCATAAATAATCGGAACAAAACAATTATTAAAAACTAATATCCGTTAAAAATAAAATAAATCACAAATAGTAAAAAATTTAGAGACAAATATATAATTTGCTCCGTTGTGTGTACAAATAGATGTATACCTACAATTACATGTAGGTTTAAAATATATAATTTATATAATTGTTATCTTCAGATATAACTCTACTAATTCTATTTATATAATTTTTGGTATTAAGTTAAGAAAAAAAATATAAAATAATAATAAAAATTTCGACCTAAGGTGAAAAAATATCATACCAACCGCACCGATATAATTTTTACAAATTTGTGCTTTATAAAAATAATTATTTTTGTAAATTATGGAACATATAATTTCACTGTTTTTAATAATATGTAAAAGATATTTTTGAAAACAAAGTTATATAGTTTCTAGATTTACTTCTAAGGAAAAATCTATGAAATATCAGAACTAAATTTTACTAAACTTTTTAATACCCAATTTTTCTATCTATCTAGTTTAATGCCCTAATTAATTAGTTTTCTCACTTTAATACATGAAATTTTAAAACTCTATCCATTTTAATACACAAAGTTTGTTTATTTTAACTAAAAACACTAATAAGTTCAAATAAATTAAAACAAAATCTCTAAATTTTTTTAAAAAAAAAATCAGGAAATTTTATTTTTATTTTTTTCGAAAATATAAGTATCTTAGTTTTTTTTATAATCTTGAAATTTGTAACAAATTTTTTAAGTTTCCAATATTAAATTTATTTTTTATTCTTAAATTAAAAAAAAAATATTTTCCTTCAAAATTAAGTCTTTTTTAAAGAAAAAGGTTCTCCACAGTTTATTTACCTTCTTTTATTATATTTCAAAATAAAAGCATAATTTTTTAATATTATTTCTTAAAAATTTGTGTGTTAAAATGAGCAAAATAATTAATTGAGTTATTAAAATGAATAACAAAAAAGTTTAGATATTAAAAAATTTAACGAAATTTAGTTGAAATATTTTTATGATATTTTCTTTTTATTTTATCGAACAAAATGGAAGAAATATCCGTAAATATTCATAAATATCTGTAAGTTTTTGGGATATTTGAAAAAGATAACAATATAATGCATAAGTTATTTATTTTCTAAAAATATAATATGATATTTTTTTTTAATTATATAATAATTATATAAGATTATAAAATTATGACATATAAGTGAAATTACCTAAAATCATGGAGAACTTAATGAATTAGCAAATTCACTTCTTAAATATTTTTTCTTAAATGATGATTTATATTTAATTAATAATATATAAATTTTTCTATTTTACCTTTAAATTATATAATATAAAAATATATTTTCAAGATAACAACATAATACATAAGAATTACCTTATTTTATAAAAGTATACAATTATTAGTGTAAATTTATTTCAATTATAAAATAACTAAAATTCTTTTATATCTTAATTTTAAATTTGTAATAAAAATATATTTTCAAGACAACAACTTAATACATAAGAAGTATCTTATTTTCTAAAATCTGATACTACTAATATAAATTTGTTTTAAATATATAATAAATTATATATGAAATTATAGAATTTCTGATAAATGATCAAAATTATCTAGGATCATAGAGACAAATCAACAAATGCACTTTTCAAATAATTGTTTTGATGATTTATATTTAATTATTAATAATATAATTTTTATATCTTAATTTAAAGTTTTATAATACAAAAATATATTTTCAACATAACAACATAATACATAAGAATTATCTTATTTTAGAAAAATATAAATTTATTAATATAAATTCGTTTTAGTTATATAATAAATTTAATAATTTTTATATTTTAAATATATAATAAATCATATATAATGTTAGAGTTTATGATGAATAATCAAAATTACCTAGGATCATGGAGACAAATCAACAAATTCACTTTTCAAATAATTGTTTTGATGATTTATATTTAATTATTAATAATATAATTTTTATATCTTAATTTAAAGTTTATAATACAAAAATATATTTTCAACATAACAACATAATACATAAGAATCATCTTATTTTAGAAAAATATAAATTTATTAATATAAATTCGTTTTAGTTATATAATAAATATAATAATTTTTATATTTTAATTTAAAATTTAAGTTTTATATATAAAATATAATTCAAGATAACAACATAATTCACAAGAATTATCTTATTTACTAAAATATGATATATTCATATAAATTCGTTTTATTTATAAATAAATTATATATAAATATAAAAATATGATAAATAAACAAAATTACCTAAATTTATGGAGAACATGATAACTAAGCAAATTTACTTCTCAAATAATAGTATATATTGCATTTTTTTTGGGGAAGTGTATTTAGTCTTGTATATAAAAAGAAAAACTACAATTGAGTGACTGACAAGAAATAAATAAAAGTAAAGAACATATATACAGTAAAATCTCCTAGGTAATGCGTGACGTGGCAAGCGTGGAGAAGAACTAACACGTGTAGCAGTTGCGACGTGCCAGCCTCTGAGTCAGAGACCTTGCTTTTTTTTTTTGTCTTCTGCTTCGTTCAACGAGTAAATTGAAAAGGAAACAAAGACATTTGACGGAAGTGCCCCTAAGGATACTGAAATGATGGACATTGACCAATCATATCATCGTTCAAATATTTTGTTAGTAAATTATTCTTATTTTCTGCAAGATGCGTTAAAATTTTCTTGTAACTATTTTTAAATTTTCGTATAGTCAAATCAAAACCGACACAAAATGTTTGATATAGACATAGTTCATTTCCTTATGCAATTCCCTGAAAAATAACAATATTTATACAAAGATACTACACACGGAAACATATCATATTCCATGGAAATATGACTAAATAAAAATAAAACTTTTTTAATAAAAATGGTAACACTTTCTTTGTTTGAACATTATTAACAAAGAAATATACATGTATACATATTATAATGGACAATAAGTCCATAACACAACAAGTCAAGTCAATCAGAAAGATATATATGGTCACATGTGTGCTGGTGTTTGTTCAGATTATGCTAATAAATAATTTAAATGTAAAAGTTAGAAACGATAGTATTATTCTCTTTCTAAAAATAAAATAGAATGATTATGAACAAATCTCTTAATTTAAATATTATTGACCTTTTCTCTCTCCCTCCTCCTTATATAAAACCTATCCTCCTTTGTTTTCGTTACCCATATAACCCTCTCTCCTCTCTAAACTTCAACTCTTATTAAAATGAACAACAACATCATCGCCGACGATTTTCCGGTGACATTCGGCGACCATCAAGTACAGTACATGCAGTCTCGTGCCTTAGATCCGTATCAAACAGCAGCAAGCTTCAACAAACACCATTTCAACCAATCTCCAGCGGTTTTAAAACGGCAGAGAGATTATGCGTTTGACTCAGACGTTATAATGACACCTCAGAAACGCAGGTGCGACGCGTTTGCTCCGCAGGCGTCTCTAGTAACCGCACAACTCGTTTCTCAGATCCAGCAGCAACAAGCGGATATCGATCGCTTCGTCGCTCAAGAAACGCAAACGCTGAGACTGGAGTTAGAAGCGAGACAGAGAACGCAAACGTTGTCCTTAGCGTCAGCGTTTCAGTCCGCGATCGTTAAAAAGCTTAGACAGAGAGACGACGAGATTGTCCGAATGGGGAAACTAAACTATGTCTTGCAAGAACGTGTGAAGAGTCTCTACGTGGAGAATCAGATCTTGCGTGATCTCGCTCAGACCAGTGAAGCTACAGCCAACACTCTCCGGTCGAATCTTGAACATGTTCTCGCTCAAGTCGACGAGTTACCGGCGACCGGCGGAGATGTTTTTCATCCCTCGGTGGAAGAGGATGATGCGGTATCGAGCAGCGGGAGCTGCGACGGTGGTGATGTAACGGCGGTGATAGGAGGATGTAAACGGTGCGGTGAAAGGACGGCGAGTGTGTTGGTGTTGCCTTGCCGTCATTTGTGTTTGTGTACGGTTTGTGGATCGGCGCTGTTACAGGCGTGCCCTGTGTGTGATACCGTCATGAATGCTAGTGTCCATGTTAACATGTCATGAGACTCATGACCCATATTTTTAATTTTTTTATTTGTTTCCTTTTTTAGTGGAGGATTTAATAGCAAAGTAAAAGAAATATGACTCTTTTATTATAACCTTTTTTGGGGATATTTTAGTTATGGAACTGATTCATTTGTTTAAAGCTTTGTACGATTCTTGGTAATTTCTTCATTTGTACGGAAGTATATTACTCTCTTTTTTTAACACCACGGAAGTATATTACTCTTTATCCGTTTTCCAAACGTTTTTTTTAGAGAAATATCATCCAATATCTAAAAGAATTAATGTTTGGGAAATTTCCTTTGATACTAATTTTCAAACTTATCCTCAAAAATAACGATTTTTATGAATATCTTCAATATGATAAAAAATATTAGGCTAATTCTCCTAAAAAATATTTATAAATATTTAAAAATTATAAAACATTTCTAGAAGTTTATCAACCCAATCCCTTCCTAAGTATTAAAGAATTATCACTACACACCACAGAAAAGTTAGAGTATTTTTAATTGAGTGTATCTTTAAAAAATGGTAGCTAACTTAAAATATTTTAAGCAGTTTCTTAATTAGCATAATGATGTACTCGTTATTTGATAATCGAACTTGCGAACCTGAAAATGACACTTAACAAATTAACAGTTAACACTGAAAAGTTACTATTTTGGTTCAAAGTGCTTACGGATTATTCTAAACATTATTCGATACCGAAGTCGTCTTTATCGGTTTAGTTTTGAACTTGAACGCACGTCCTATCTTTGTGCTCTAGGGGTAATCTGTTGACATTATTATCGTCATTGATCGTCCCTATTATTGATATTAGAAAATATCTATGCTTATTTTCCTGGAAACTTCAATGGAAGCCAAAGATGGAAGTTGCAAAAGGCGACATAATAATTGAATTGGGAAACGAAATTTTGAAGAGTCTTTCCAAAACATGTGCGGTGGTCCTTGGCCTTTTACTTCTTCTCTGGCCTATTAATTACATATAACAAAAATAGGAAAAGAACATATAGTATTGTTCTTACTTTCAGGAAGTTATCGAGTAATTTAATTCGCAGTTAACCGAACAATATTCCTAAAATCTTTGTTTGATTCTTTTTTTTTTTTTTTTTTTTGAATGAATGTAAAATTGAATTCAAACAAAAACCATACTACATCAAAGTGCATCAGTTTTTTGAATGAGGCTACAAAACCCCATTTACAATTTAAGAAACAAAAGAAGAACCAAAAGTCATTAACACCCCCCCCCCCTCAAATTCAACCATATGGAACAAGTCGAAAATGGAGTGACCATGAAAATCTCCTCATTAAAACCTCTATAATGAAAACCCAAATGGGACAAAACATTATAGAGGAAAAAGAGTAAGATATCATGGTTAGGGGAATGTATGGACTGAAACAAAGACAGAAAAAATCAGAATACCAGAATACCAGCAAATCAGCAAACCCACTCTTTTAGCCGAACAACAAACCACGAAGACACCACCAACAAACAGAAGGAACAACCACACACAACCTGTCCAACATTTCAGGCCTCAAACTCTACTAAACCACGTGACCAATCCCTTCTCAAGGTAATTTTCTCTTCCTTGGACAGAAAGAAGTTTGAGCCTAACACACTTATCAACCAACTTAGTTATATCCCTTGGATTCTCTCCATGCCTGCGCAAATTTCTTTCCCACCAAATCATGTACATGGTAGTTTGCATAGTGTATCGAAGAATAAAGGTCATAATGGGGGTTAGCCAACTTGTTGAGACCATCTCAATCAACTCACTCCAGGATATAGTAAAGCTATCTTTCATGAAATCTTCCATCAGATTTTTCCAGATCCTACTCGTGTATCTGCAGTCAAAAAAGAGGTGAGTACAAGTCTCTGGAGCATCGTCACAAAGCACGCAAGTGATATTAATATGATTATTCCACTGAATCATTCTATCAGTCGTTTGCAGCCTTCCTCTAACTGCTAACCACATCATAAAAGCATGTTTAGGAGTGGCATGAGAAAACCAGACCCCCTTGTGCCAAGTGCATGTAGATCTCCTAGTACGAGTAAGCTCCCAAGTATGTCGCGTGGAGAAAGTTTTCATGTATTTTCCCTCCTCTCGCTTCCACATGGCAACGTCTTTATCCCCACAGACTTGAGTATTGTGAATAACATCTTCAATCTGGTTCAGAACATCAACTCTGTGATTCCTTCGTCGCATATTCCTCTTTGCATCAGCCACAGTATAATGATCAGGAATACCAAGATCCAGAGGACCTCTTACACCAAGAATTTCAATCAAAGAGCATCCAAACATGGTCCAATTATCATACCAAAAGGACGTGTCTTCGCCATTTCCAATATCTTTCCTCATTAAGATTTTTGCATGATCTCTAAGCTTGAGAAGCTTCCTCCAAACCCAAGAACCAGAATTAGTATTATCTTTAATTGCCCAAAAGGAACTTTTACGAATCAAATAACATCGGAGCCACTGAACCCATAGAGTAGATTCCGAGGTAATGCGCCAGATAAGCTTAAGCCCATACACTCTGCTCATATCTTTAAGACAACGCAAACCCAAGCCACCTTCATTCAGAGGAACACAAATATCTTTCCAGCTTACCTTTTCCTTTGTGGTCTTAAAATCAGGACCAGACCATAAAAATGCAGAGCAGAGACTTTCAATTTCCTTTAAACAGCTTCCGGGAAGACGAAAAGCTGTCATCCAGAAGTTTGCAAGACTTGTAATAACCGATCTAATGAGCTGTAGACGACCTGCGTGAGACAAAAGTCTCCTAGTCCACGGCCTCATTCTTTTCCTGATTTTCTCAACAAGAGGCAAATAGTCATTAACAGTCATGCGTTTAGTAAGAAGAGGCAGACCTAAATACCGAACTGGTAACTTCCCAGTAGCAAAAGGAAAGGCCGAGAGAATGTCCCTCTCATTATCCTCATGAATACCCGCAGTGTAAATGGTGGACTTTTCAAGGCTAATCTTGAGCCCCGAAATGCTTGCAAAGTCATTGAAAACCCCAAGGATCCCTTCTATAGATCTTTTGGTACCATCAGTAAAGACGAGCAAATCATCAGCAAAACACAAATGAGATAGATGGATGTTCTTGCATCTAGGATGGTAGCCAATCTGCTGCTTTTCCACTGCCTTATCGAGCATATAAGAGAGAACGTTAATACATATAACAAATAGGTAAGGAGATAAAGCACAGCCCTGTCTCAAACCTCTTCTACTCTGGAAAAAACCGGCAAGTTCCCCATTAACCTGAACCGAGAAGGAAGCGGAGCAGACACAGAGCTTAATCCAGTGCACAAAATTCTCAGGAATGTTTAAAGCCCTTAGAGTGTTCAACAGAAAGGGCCATTGCACAGAGTCAAAAGCCTTAGCAATGTCAATCTTCATCGCACAACGAGGAGAGATATCCTTTTTATGATAGTCCTTAATAATTTCTGTAGCCAACAACAGGTTTTCAACCAACAACCGATCTTTTATGAAAGCAGATTGGTTATAGGAAACACACCTGGGAAGAGTACTCTTCAGTCTGTTTGCTAAGAGCTTAGAAATCACCTTATACAAAACGTTGCAACAAGATATCGGCCGGTAATCCTTCATCGCTTGAGCACTGTCTTTTTTGGGAATAAGGGCAAGGATTGTAGAATTCAAACCCTTAGGAAGAAAACCTTTACTGAAAAAGGACTGGATTGCAACGGTGAGATCTTTACCAATAATGCTCCAAGAGGCTTTGAAGAATTCACTTGTAAAACCATCAGGACCCGGACATTTGTTACTAGGCATTTTGAACACCACCTCCCTTACTTCATCTTCCTTAACCATACGCGAGAGATTTTCTCTTTCAATATCAGTGCACCGAAAAGGAATAATATTCTGAAGCTCCTCAACAGAAATTGAGTGGATATCAGATGGTTCATAAGAGAGGAAGTCTTTAAAAAATCTCTCCGCTTCCTTTTTTATATCATCTTGAGTAGTAACCACATTACCATCTGAGCATTTTATCTCACGGATTGTGTTCCTCATTTCTCTAATCTTCGCAGCATTGTGAAAAGCCTTACTATTCTTATCCCCAACTTGAAGCCAATGGAGCTTAGATCTTTGCTTTAAAACTTTTTCTTCAATGTCAGAAATTCTCTGCCATCTCATACAAGCATCATGCTCAGCATAAGCATTCTCTTGGGAAGGATCTTTCATCAATTTATCTTGCTTATCACATAGATCAGAAAAAGCCTCTTTAACCTTTTTGGTAAGAGCCCCCAACTCATGCTTACTCAGGTTCCGAATATGAGGCTTCAGCCCTTTAAGACTTTTAGAGAACCTGAAGAGAGCTGAAGTGGATTGAAACAAAGGACGGGTTTATTTCCAGTAGTTAGAGATAATCTCGAATTCTGACGTCTCCGCAATCACATTTGTAAATTTGAAAGGTCTACGAATACCAACAGCTTCTGCTTTTAGATGGAACCTCCCACGCAGGTGGTCAGAAATACCTCCAGCTTCGAAGACACCATAGGCCTGAGACCGCTTTTGAAACCAAGTATCATTTATCAAAATGCGATCCAACTTTTTACAGATTAACCCCTCATCTCTCTTGTTGCACCAAGTAAATTTCGGGCCCTGATACCCCATGTCCATCAAATTGAAGTGTTGAACCACATTATCAAAATCACGCATACCAGCAGTCAAAACACCTGAGTCTTGATAACTTGAATGTTCCTCCCCATCAAGAATTTCATTAAAATCACCAAGAATCACCCATTCTTTTCCTCGAAACATTCTGGAATCATGATGAGAATTAATATCAGCCCATAACTCTTTCCTTTTCTCAGCACTGTTGTCAGCATAGACAAAAGAACAAAAAAATTCCTCACTTTCCCCCTCCAGAAGAACAGAAACAGTAATGATTTGCTCCGACTTAAACACCGGAGTATTTCTAATTTGAGAGCTCCAAATAACCCATAATCTCCCTTTCCTGTTAAACTCATAATTGTTAATAAACGACCAGCCTTCAAAAACCGACGAAACAATTTGAGCAGATTTTCTCTCTTTAACTCTGGTTTCAATCAACCCCCCAAACTGTAGACCTTTATTACGAACCCACTGTTTAACCACTTGTTGCTTCGATGTTTTGTTGAACCCTCTAACATTACAGAAGAAACCTGTCATTGAAAATGATTTTTGTTACCTTGTGTCCCTCCTCCAGG